GAGTCAGTGAGTGAGAGTGAGTGAGTGAGTGAGAGTCCAGACTTAATTTTCTTAAGGATACTCTTCTAAGTATATTCATATGTGTTTTTAAATGGATTTTAGTTCTCATCTTACTATAAACAACTAAGTGCCTAATTTTCAATGACTAGAAAATAATACTTATTTTCTTTGTCAATAGGACTTGTGTAAGAGCTGTTGTTATCTATGGGGGAACCCAGTTGGGACATTCAATTCGACAGATAGTACAAGGCTGCAATGTATTATGTGCTACACCTGGGAGGCTGATGGATATCATAGGTAAAGAAAAGGTAGGCCCTACAGTGATTAAAAAAAAGTAGGGGGAGCTGATGGGTGAATTTTTTGTTTTGGGAAGGGGAAGAATGAGGGAAAGAAAAGTATTAATACTTATTATAGCACTGTTAATATGTTCCAAAGAAACTCATCATCCAGTCAATGCAGATCCTCTGAATAGGAGATAGTGTGCTCCATTTTGTGCTTGGGGTGGGGGGAAACTGAGTCAGATGATGCTATTTTCTCAGCTCTGTAACTAAGGTCCTATTCTGGATGTCTGGTTCCAGAGTTTATATTCTTTGTCTTAAGCCCTTCATCTCCACATCACCCCCATCCCCAGCACTGAGAGACAGGTGCACCACTACACCTGTATTCATAAATACTTTGATAAATTATAATCTTTTCTTAGAAGAAAGGTTTTGTGTTATAAGTAATTTTGTCTCGTGTTATGATGGGTATGATGTTAACAAGACTTGTTAATTTTCTAGTTTTAAGAAGAGATTTTAGCCCTGTTGATTTAGGTATACTAGATTACTACACCTCTAAATTGTACTTCAAGTTTACTTTAAATGAATCTCACTTAATTTTTAAAGGTTCATCTCCAAAGGAATTACTCAAAACATGCTCTTTTTATGTAAGACATTTTTCTTAGGACAATCACTAATGGCATCCTTGCTCTCACCTAAATCTTCCATAATGGCTCCAAAGTCACTTACTTTCTTTTTGCAAATGTGTGCTGTTCATAAGTGTTTGTGCAAAGACAAGAGATGTTCCCAAGTTGTTCCCGAGTGATTAGAAAGTGGAAAATTTATTAATAATGTGAAAGAGTTATATGCACTTAAAACTGAAGGGGAGAAAAAGCAGATGAGTGCTATCGCAATGTTAGAGAATTGGTGGCTATTGGACTGTAGTTTGCTTTAGACAATCTTGTTTTGAGGGTGCCCAACAATTAGTGCCCTGGGACCAACACATACTTAGAGTTTTCACACACACTGCTTTTTTGTGATATATGGGTCTGCCTTTGTACATGAGCATTACTGAAAGTATTGCCTTATTTTTTTAACGACTTACGGCATTAGACAAAATTGAGAATCGGAAATCAATAGTAATAGCATTATCCAACCAGAACAGTGCTCATCATTTTTTACATTGAATACTAGTTTTCAACCTGAAGTATATTTTAATAGACAGAATTGTTAAGAGTTTAATAAATAACAGACATTTTCTCTTATAACCCTTAAAATTTTTCTGAAAGATTGGTCTGCGTCAAGTCAAATATTTAGTTTTGGACGAAGCTGATCGTATGCTGGATATGGGTTTTGGACCAGAAATGAAGAAATTAATTTCTTGCCCAGGAATGCCACCAAAGGAACAACGTCAAACCCTTATGTTTAGTGCAACTTTTCCAGAGGAAATTCAAAAGTACGTTTTTATCCTTTTTAAAAATAATTTTCATATACACCTAAATGTCTTTCTGGAAGGTAAGCAATATGATTATCCTAGTTTTCATTTTTAGAGGATTTTATTACAGGTATTCAAATAGAGATGTATTCCTAAATTGTTTACCACAGTTTTATTGTGTTTCTTTTTTATTTCTGGTTTGCATTATTAACATATTTTAAAAAGTATATGTGTGTATAAACATTTCTGCTTTTCTTGCCATGGTGAGTTTCTCTGGGTTTGGAGAAATATTTTTGTATTTGTAGCAAGTACTTAGATATGATTTAATAAAATGCTTAGTAAATGAATTATTTTTATTATGTTCCTTCTTCCAACCTAAATATACAGAGTTTAGGAGAATTGGTTGTTAGGTAGAAAATAAACCACTTGTTGACAGATAATTGAGAAGTCCTACTATATCATGTTGTCTGGTGAATTCATATATTAGAATGATATATCCCTATGAGGATGAGGACTCCTCTACCTGCCTACTGGGCCCTTGGCAAAGGAAGCCTTAAGTGCCTACACAGGATGTATAGAATATTATACAGTAAAAATCCTGTTTTCTTTCTTGTAACAGTTCTCTTCTTCAGATCCTAGGATAGGAAGTGTGGGTTCCCTAAGTGGGCCGAGGGGTATAATTAGTAAGTAGGGCACTCTTCCTTATGTCCCATAGTTCCCAGATCCCTGATTCAACGAACATACTGAAACCTGATGGATGATCTTTGTGAAAAGTTACAACTAAGCTAGCCCCGTTCCTTCAGCCAACTGCTACTATGTTCTGTCAGGCTGTCAGTCTTTGGGTGGCGGGCTCCCATGATTTTGGACCAGTTTTCTTAGGCTAAACGTTAAACTTGCAGACTCTTCTAAATATATATCTGATCTGTTTCCTCTCATTGTAGTTTGTGAAAGAAATTATAAAACCACTTTTCACAGTTCTTGAAATACTGTAAGTGTGCATTGCTGGGACTCTAAAAAGTTTAATGGTTTTGCAACTATAATTATGGGAGAGCCTCCGAGTCAGTCACCAGTCATGCTTGTCTTTGTATTATGTTCCCGACACCAAGCACAGTCAGTGAATGCTTCCAGGAATGAAAAGGGAGGTCCATGCAAATTATTGTATATACTCATGGATAAGCTGAGTTTTTCAGCACATGTTTTATGCTGAAAAATCCCCCTTGACTTATACTCGAGCGAGAGTCCCCCCTTACTCTGGTGCAGTGCAGGTGTTCTCCGGTCTCTCGCGCATCTGCGGGGCGTCTGTAGCCTCTGTGGGTGGTCCAAAGACTGCTGATATCACTGCTCATCTTTGCTCATCCACGCCAGCAGCCTCTGTGTTGTCTGTGCTGTACTGGGCAAGAACCTGCCTGCTTCTGTGTGCTGGTACCTGGGGCTCACATGGCATCCTTGTCAGATGAATGTCGGGTGCGTCTGCTCTTCTCCCGCTCTTCTCCAGGGCTGTGACCAATGACGTAGTCTTTACAGTCTTACCTGTGCCTGGTCACGCCTCCTTGCTCTACCCAAGCGTTGCTGAATACAGGTATCAGTATATCTCTGGTCTTATATATACAGTATGTTTATTTACAGTACTTAGTCTGCTGTATTTTATTTTCTTATTAACCCCTATCTGGACCCAGTGTTGACTGTGCTTGCATAGACCAGCCTGTGTTAGGGCTCATAATATACATGATGCATTGTGTATGCACTGTGTTATTGCATGTGTTGCGTTAGCACTTCTCATACATATGCAGTAACACAGTGCATACACAACACAACATGTATATTATGAGCCCTAACACAGGCTGCTCTATGCAAACAGTCATCTCTTCACATTCTGGAATATCATCAACCTGCATTAGACCTCAAACTATGCAAGTTGCATTGTGTACATGCAGTAAGGCAGCGTATGTAGTAATGCAGCACATGTGGTAACACATTGTGTATCATTATTGTTGATATATATTGTTTTTGTTGACCCTCTTTTCTACTTACAGAGGTGGTTTACTATTTTTCTTTGAAACAAATATTCAAAAACGTTTAACCTACTGCTGCCTCAATTAATGGGATTTTATCGGTATCTATTTTTATTTTGAAATTGACCAGTAGCTGCTGCAGCATTTCTCACCCTAGGCTTATACTCGAGTCAATAAATTTCCCCAGTTTTTTGTGGTAAAATCAGGTGCCTCGGCTTATATTTGGGTTGGATACTACTTGAGTATATATGGTACTTTTTTTTTTCTTTCCTTTTTTTGGGAAGAGGGTGGTGAGGTCCATGAAGAGTGTGCTAAGGTCCGAGATGTGCTCAGTCTAAGTTACTTTTATAATATTCTATCTGGCAACTAGAAAATAAAAGAGAAAGGGACTGGAGCCCTGGAGGTACATATGGTGTGCAAACTTTTGGTTTTAACCTACCCAGCCACTCACCCAGCTGGGAGAAAGGTCTGGCTATCTTGTTCCTGTGGAGATTACAACCTAGGAAGCTCTGGGGGACGTCTCTGTTGAGTCCTGTGTTAGAAGTTTCAGTTGACTGGGTGCCACCTCACAGCAACAGTTTAGGCGAGAGGAGGACTGAAGGTAGATTTCGGTCTTTCCAGTTACTCATACAAGCTCAGCTCTTAACTTGATGATTTCCCCCTAGGTTTTGGGATACTGGAAACCCAGCCTTCTCAGTAGCTGTCCTGGAGTTGTTAGAGTGCAGATTGATTCCCTCAGTCTTGGGAATGGGCACACTTAGCCCATGTCCCCTTAACTTCTCGGAGGTTGACTGTAGTTAGATGTTCTGAAAAACCTTAGTATCTTTAAAAAGAACACTTGGATGATATAGTAACCTTCTTATTAGGGCATTGTAATCACTATCCAATTAATTATTGAAAGTGCGCTGAGTATTTCAGTGAATACTCTAAAACACTAACGGAAGAGGAGAAGTTAAGTAATAATCTTTTGTCTTTAAAGGTTGGCTGCGGAGTTTTTAAAGTCCGATTATTTGTTTGTTGCTGTTGGACAAGTGGGTGGAGCATGTAGAGATGTTCAGCAGACCGTTCTCCAAGTTGGCCAGTATTCAAAACGAGAGAAACTTGTCGAAATTCTACGAAACATAGGTATCATTATCTTGATCAGATTATTTCTTGTTACGACTTTGATATTTTAAAATGATAAATTTTTTGTATTACTGTTTTTGTTAACCTTAATCAGTGACATGAATTGATTGTGAAGCATTTCTTAACATAGGGAGAACAGTAAATCAAAAAATTTTTTGAAAACTTCCAGGTATAAAGAAAAAGGTAAAATGTAAATCCAAAGGAGAATTCAAAGAACACTTACATGTCTAGGCTACAATGAATTTATGCTAAATTAATGTTAAAATTAATTTATACATCACTGCAAAAATGTTCGCTGTTCACAGGGCAATGATCGGTCATGTTTCAGAGAGAACTTTGCATTTCAATAGAAAAGAATCATTTGCATTGCTATCAGTTTCTGACTATACTTGTAAAATAAGAACTATAATAAACAGCACAGATAATCCAAAGGGTGCTTTGGACAGACCTCTTATTTATTTGTCATTTCAAAATCTTATACTTTAAAAGCCATCAACTTGGCTCCAGCCCATAGCCACTCTAAGTATAACAGAACAAAACACTGCATGGTCTGGGCCCATCCTCCCAATTGTTCTATGCCGGAGACCATTGATCCATTGCCTGCATCAATCCTCCTTGCTGGGGGCCTTCCTTTTTTTTCCGCTGCTCTGGCACTTTGCCAACCATGGTGCCCTTCTTCAGGGACTGGTCCTTTGACAATAATGTCTTAAGTATGTTAGATGAAGTCTTGCCATCCTTGCCTCTAAAGAGAACTCTGACTTCTTCCAATACAGATCGGTTTGCTCTAGCAGTCCAGGGTACTTTCAGTATTCTTTTCCAGCACCACAATTCAAATGCGCTGTTAATTCTACTGGGGTTTTCCTGATTCAGTGTCCAACTTTGATGTGCATAGGAAACAATGGACATTACCAAGGCTTGGGTCAGACATACCTTAGTCCTCAAAGTAACATCCTTGTTCTTCAATATGCTAAAGAGGTCTTGTGCAGCAGGTTTACCCACTGCAATCTGTCTTTTGATCTCTTGATTGCTGCTGCTTCCATGAGCATTGATTATGGATCTGAGCAAGAAAAAAATCCTTGTCAACTTCAGCCTTTTCTCCATTTATCATGATGTTACCTACTGGTCCAATTGTGGGGATTTTTGTCTTCCTTACATTGAGTTATAATCCATAGTGAAGGCTACAATCCTTGATCTTCATCAACAAGTGCTTTGAGTCTTCCATACTCAGCAAGCAAGGTTGTGTCATCTGCATATTGCAGTTTTTAGGAAGCTATTCTGCTGCCACACTCTTCTGCACATAATACAGGGTCTTTGCTCCACATACAGATTGAACAGACATCTTGCCCGATTGTACACCAAGCAGTATTCCCTTGTTCTGTTTACACAACTGCCTCTTGATCCAGATACACGTTCCAAATACGCACAATGCAGTTTTCTGGAATTCCCATTCTTCTCAAGGATATCTATAGTTTGTTATGATCCACACAGGTGAATACAAGTGCCTTTGCATATAGCTAAGGAAACTTAAACATGTTTCTGGTATTCTCTGCTTTCAGCCAAGATCCGTATGACATCATCAGTGATTGCCCTGTTCCATGTCTTCTTCTATCCTGAACTTCTAGCAGTGCCCTGTCAGTGTGCTGCTGCAACCATTGTTGGATCATTTTCAGCAAAATTTTACTTGCATGTGAAATCAGTGATACTGTTCTATAGTTTGAGCATTCTTTTGGGTAACCCTTCTTTGGAATTGGCACAAATACGAATCTCTTCTAGTCAGTTGGCTGGGTTGCTGTCTTCCAAAGTTCCTGGCATAGACATGTGAGTGCTTCCCGTGCTTACTCAGCTTGCTGAACCATATCAGTGGGTATCCCATCAATTTCTGGAGCCTTGTTTGTGGCTGATGCATTCAGTGTAGTTTGAACTTCTTTCAGAACCATTGGTTCTGGCTCATATGCTACTTCCTGAAATGGTGGAAGGTGGACTAGTTCTTTTTGGTGCCGGGATGCTTTGTATTCTTTACATTTTCTTTTGACACATCATGCATCATTCAATATTTTGCCTATAGAATATTTCAAAATTGCACTTGAAGGCTTGATATCTCTTGTGTCTTATATATAAATAAATATAAACAATTGCCTTTAACCTCCCAGGGTTGTTAAGGAGTATTTTTAAAAGTCTAAATATTTAACTAGAGACAAATTAAAAGGCAAGCCTAGAGTTAAATATTTAAACTATAAAATACTACTAAGCTAAGACTCTGGGAGGTTAAGGCTATCATTTAGTTTTTATTTATATATAAGATACTACTGGCATAGTGGCAGTTTTCAGATGCAATCCTCAATGTCAGCAGTTCGAAATCACTAGCTATTCTGTGGGAGAAAGAGGGAGCTTTCTATTCCTGTAGACTGTTACAGTCTTGAAAACTCACAGGGGCAATTCCATCCTGTCCTGTAAGGGTTGCAGTGGGTCAGCATTGATATGTTTGCTGTGAGTTTGAGTTTTTGAATAAGATACTTTGCAGATGGTTGGGTCTATATTGAGGTTATGTTGGGACAAGAAATATTGTGGAGTTGGCAGTCTTGATTGAGTCCCACTATTTTTTTTTTAACATTTTATTAGGGGCTCATACAACTGTTATCCCAATCCATACACACATCAATTGTGTAAAGCGCATTTGTACATCGTTT